GTTTGAAGAAATAATGACAGAAAACTTCCCTGATATTGAGAATAAAAAAGACCACTCAAGCCTACAGCTTTTTCTGAAGAAGAAAGTTGATCTGGTATTTAATTAGGGTCTTGAACTTTGTAATTTTTAACTACAATATAATGACTCTTCATCAGTTATAACAAGCTACTTCAAAATGTGATCAGACTTTTAAAAAATGCTAAAAACATTTTTAAAGAATTCCTATATATTATTTTTTAAGTTAAAAATAAATTGAGAACAGATCATCCCTTATACCAAGGATCCCAACATATTTTAAAAGGTGAGTACAAATAATTCTTGCTATTTCATGTTATTTCTAATTTTACTATTAAATGCTTAAACATGTCTAAGTATTAGTGCTGGCTATTTCTTCATCCTTAGCATTTTCAACTCCCAAGATTAAAAAAGAACAAAAACATTTTCTTGTTATGTAACAGGAACTGTAATTTGTTTAATGATGATACCTGATACTAACATGACAACACAAAATACCTCAAACATGAAAGTGTCCACTTCTTCTCGAATAGCCTCCAGGCTTAGCTTGTTCCCTTCATCATCCATCACATTTAAAAGCAGGTCGAGAAAAGCCTTGCGTTTTCTCTTGGAGAGGGTCGTGCCTTTGTCATCACTTTTACCTTCTTTATCTCTCTTCATTTCATTGGCCCGTTCCTTGATGACCTGTATGATTTAAATGATCACATGCTTTTGTGTGGAATTTGATATGGCCTAATAGTCCATTTTCCTGTGAAAATATACTAGCTTCTTTAACTGATTTTTTCTAAGCCTTTCCTGTTCTGTCTCATTCAACAGGAACTTAGGTTGTTTGAAAATATAGTAAAGCTTTCTGTGAACATGTTTAGGGCATTATTTAATAAGACTTTTAAAAACAAATTTAATGTCAGACAAATACATCATTTCCAAGGACTATTTTTACAGCCTTTCCAACATGGGAATAGAGTAGTAGTCTCCTGAATAGGGCCGGAGCGAGTTGAAAGAGCTCATGAGAAAATTTGGGTAGTGGAGAGAACACAATCTATACTAATAAAAGGGTAATATGCTAATTAGACTGGGGCAACTGGCCATCTTCCGGATGTCCAACTTCCTTCCAAACAAAGCCATGGTGGTGGGGGCCGAGGTAGAGGCAGTTGGGGGCGATCAGGTAGGCAGGAGACAGCATTTAGGAGTGAGATCAAGTCGGCAGGGGAGGGGACTTGGGGGCGACCAGGCCTGCAGGGGAGGGCAGTAGGGAGCAACTAGGCCATCAGGGAAGGGCAGTTGTGGATGACCAGGCGCTGCAGGGGAGGGCAGTTGCAGGTGATTGGGCCTAGAGGGAAAGGCCATTCGGGGCTTCCATGCCGGAAGGGGATAGTCAATGGGGTGACCTGGACAGCAGGGCAGGGCAGTTGGGATGACCAAGTAGGCAGGGGAGGGCAGTTGGGGCAACCAGGCTGGAAAGGGAGGGCAGTTGGGGGTGACCAGGCCAGCATGGGAGGGCAGTTGGAAGCATTAGGCAGGCAGGCAGGTGAGTGGTTTGGAGCCAGTGGTCCTGGATTGCAAGAGGGATGGCTGACTGTGGAATTGGACCTAAACTGACAGTCGGACATCCCCAGATGGGTCCTGGATACGAAAGGGTGTAGGCCAGGCTGAGGGTCACCCCCTTGTGCATGAATTTCGTGCACTGAGCCTCTAGTCATTATATAATAGATTAATTATAGATCACTCTAATTACATGTTGTATTAGAGAAAAGAATCACCCTGTACGCTTGCTGCTCCTTCTGCCTAGAATGCTCTTGCCTCAGAAGCCAGCATGACTAGCTTCTGCTCTAGTTTTAGATCTCTACTGCCCAATGTCACACTGTCAGGGTCACTGCTACCCTAGTCCCTAGCACTCACTCTCTTCCTAAGCCTACTTTACATTTTTTTCTATTTCACTTACCACATGGCATTGTATTTGTTGTTTAGTGACTTTCTCCAACTTCAATGTAGCAGCAAATTTGTCTTTATTCATTGATATATTTCTAACCTTAGAACACTGCTTGGCATTTTAAAAATGTTCATCAGGTATGTGTTGAATGAATAAAAGAATGAAAGCCCATGAGCTTAATTTGGTTACACATTTCAACTTTCTCCTCCTTTCAGGCAATTGTCCAAACAAGCTTCTGCTTTGAATGAGCAGACCCCAAGTTCTGTAAGGACAAGCACCATGTCCTCTCTTTGATTCTTGGTGGAACCCCTAGTGCCTGGCACTCAGTATGCAATTTTTGATATTATCATCCAGTTTGGAATTCATTCGTTGTCACTCCGCTGCACCCACCAGCCAATCAGGATGAGTATGCAAAGATGGCGGATTCATTTGCATACACAGGTGTGAAGTGAAGAATGAAGGCTCTGAGCGAAGACTGAAGATGACTGAAGACTGAAGAGGCTTAGCTTCTCTGCTGGGGCTGGAGTGGAGAAGCCAAGCCTCGCTGCAGCCAGAGCGGAGAAGCCTAGCCCCGAGGCGTGGCTGCTCCGCTGTGGATGGGCCAAAGGCATGGGTCACGGGTGCCTGAAGAAAACTGGTGTGGGCAGCCAGGGGAAGGAAGGCATATTGCACAAATCTTCTAGCAACGGGCCTCTAGTTTTTTTATATTAGCCATCCAATTTGAAATTCATCCATTATTGATACTGATATTAATGAATGAAATTGGAAGACAAGTGTAATTATACCCATAAAATGAAATCTGTTCACCGTTCACATATTGACAGGCAATTATGCTATACTTCACTGATGGCAGCTCACTCCAACATCTCATTCATCTAACATCTAGGGACTCTAACCACTTGATATTTTGGTGGAGGCAATACCTCATTTTCAGGAAGCAACGCCATCATATTTTAAACTAAAATTACAGCAAAGGATAAATATATTTACTTCGGCACTTTTATCAGTACACTTAAATTACAATGCATGCTTTTAATTAAAGTTTGCCTTTAATAAACATACTTTTAACACAAACCCAGACTATATTCCGGAACATTATTATTTCCTTGTCATTAACAATTACATAGTAATATCTAGTTAATTTTTATCTTTTCCAGTTTAAGATACTGCTATAAATGCCCTTTGTCTTAGAAAACTATTGCCTAATCCAAACATTTTTCAGAAGATTCTTATAACACAGTTCCCAGTGTCTTTATTTTCTTAGCATAGCACCCAGTTTGTTAATAAACTATCATAGCACATATCACATTTTGTAATTATTTATTTATAGACAACCTCCCCAGTAGACTAACCTCCCCCAGTAGGGAACATTAACTACTGGGTATGTTAACAAACATAGGAGTCATGCACTTATAAAAGTTCTAGAAAGTGATAGTGGTAGGGGTTGCACAACATTGTTAATGCCCCTAATG